GATTTTGTTGTCTAAACCGCGTAGCCGGTCGATAAGGAAACACTTGGATGATGAAGTAACTCGGCGTGCTGGAATGCTTCAGCGGGGAGCTGCAAAGGGTAACCGTCGTTGTAAGGGCGATGTTTTAGATGGAGCTGTCTGAGGAAGGATAGGAATGGATCAGCTGGGAGGCGAAAGCAGAGCAGCGGAAGGGAAGGGCTGAAGAGCATTAGCGAAAGAGGCATTCAGGTGTAACGCAGCGTTGTGGGTTCACTCGCTGGGCAGCTCTTGCTGTACGTGTTCACCAGACTGTTAACGTTCAGATTTTCAACCTGGATCAAACCACAACTTCTAATAATTGTTTTGTGTTGTGTTTTTTACCCCAACAGGGTAGGTGCTGTGAGTCAGCATGGGATAGAAAGGTGGAACAGAACACTGGAATGACTTAAAAGGCTTAAGTCATTCCAGTGTTAGGCTAAACTTGGGAAAAAGCCCTCGTGAAATGTAAACATTGCAAACATGGAATACTGAGGATGTTTAATGTGTATATCGATAGAGAAGCACGCATAATGAAGCTGTACAGACTGTGGGCTTCAGTGGCTTAGAGAAATGAAAGAGGGGTTTGGGTGAGCTGAGTTTTATCAAATGGCAATTTTTAAACGTTGCAAAGCTGGGAGGTCGTTGTCTGAAGCTGCTTCTTGTTCCTGCCAGTTTAAAATTTCACATTTGAAATGAAACTTGGAAAGCAGAAGATGAAGTTCCTATGGCATGCACTTTTGATGGAAAAAGAAAAAAAAAACAAAAAAAACCCTAGGCTTTGTAGTTTCTAACTTTTCCTGTCCAGGGAGTTTTGCCCAGCAGTGGTTTGGTGGCTAGAACAGTAGTGTCTTTTGGTGAAGATACTTTGTGCAATGCATCTATATTTAACCACCGCTTCCTGTATTTAAACTCACCCTGTACTTCTAGGAGTTGTGTAACATATTTCCAGAATTACACTTCGCTCCCGCCGCAGCAGTTTGGTAAGCAAGGGATGCATTTAGTGGAATATTCCCCTTGTAAACCTGAGGCTGTTCTTGTAGCTTTTCTTGCGTCCAGAGTATGGGTCGTGCTTTTATAACTGAGGTAAACGCACAGGGGCTAATGTAGCCGGATCGACAAAACATGTCTTCTGAGTCGCAGGTAGCGCTTCCACTGGGCCAGGGCTCCGTACTCGATGAGGCTGATCAGAAGATAACAAAAGATGCGTGGTGAAGAGAAAACAGACTTTCTGTTACAGACAGGAGATGAGACCCTCGGCGCTTGTGCGCTTTCAGTATCGCGTTGCAGGCGTGCTTGTGGTTATGGAGTGCATCCACACTCAGAATTTAGAGGAGGAATGACCGCTGTTTCATTTGTGGGTTTCTTCCCCCCGTTTGTGAGATTGCCTGTGGGTTTGCCCTGTTTCTTGTACGCCCGCCGGAGCTGCTTCTGGTCGCTTACAGAGACAGGACATCAGGTGCCGTGACGCTGGCCTGGTCCACGAGCCTACATCCAGCCTCAGCTCTCCAAAGTGCCACCTTATCTCTGTCCAGCCTTTCGTAATGCTATTTTCTTGCTTCCTAACAGTCCCTTTTATTGTTGGAAGCAAAGGCAGTTTTGTCTTGTCATTGTTGCTGTTACCATCGTTATTATTATTGGTGCTTATTGAGATTGAAACCTTCTTTTCCCCCCCAGAATAGTGACACTCAGCTGTTTGCAAAATGACAGATGGTGACAGAATTTTATACGTTAAAGAACTTGGTATGTGTTAGCCATTTCCCAAATATGACGGAGTTTCTTTACATAGAGTTGCTCAATGTTTATGAAGGAGCTGTGTTCACTGAGCCATCGCTGGCAGAAGTGATGGCTGAACAAACCTGTCACAGAATAAGGTTTCTACATCAGCAGGAGTGATTAAGTATTGGGTTATGTAGCATTTGTTATTTACATAGGTGAAAAGCGTATTTCTTTTCGCATCCAGAAAGCAAGAAAAATAAACCGTTCCTCACTTTAAAATTACTGTATTGACCTGCCTCTTGCTGATCCGTGTAATCCTCCATCACCCGTGTAATAAATCTTTCTCGTGCTGCTGTCCTGGTATAGGATTTGTTCTCTGGCTGCCTGCAAAGCTGCGTTGCTGTGTTTTACTGTGGCTTGTACTGGCTTTTGTGGTCCTGGGGGTGGGGGTGCAGTCTCAATGGGCAATTAGTTCTTACAGAAAACAGATAAACCTGGCACTTTCTAATGTAGCTCTGCTCCTTTCCTACAGAGCAGGACAGCTACCCGCCTCTTCCTGGGTATGGAAAATGAGCAGACGTGGTGGTATCTCAGTCATGCCTTTGACCTCTAAAATACTTTTATATATATATATATATATATATAGGAGTAGAGCAAGAATACAAAGGTTGAGCTCAGTTAAACCTTGCCAGAGGTGATAAGCAACTTGATACTGGGGTTGCTTGTTCAGTAAGCATCAAGCTAGAATTAAAGCCTTTTCATATTGTTTCAAACGTAAATGTGTGTGTTGCAAAACGACATTGAAAAGGGGAGAGGAGAGGCTGAGGCACGTAGAAGAACTGGGTACGTTCTTGGTTGGGTTATTGTACTGCTTGTCTGTTTAGAAAAATTGTTGATGTGACAGTCCTTCATACGATGCCGTATGGAAAGTCACCAGTGGTGAGCTTAGTACAGGGTTGGGGAAAAAGGAATTAGGGAGAAGATTTGGGGGTCAGAATACCTGTGAAGGGTGGGACCTGGGAGGGTCGACACCAATGAGTGTCTTGAAAAATACGGTAATGCTTGTAGTACAGAGACAGGAGGGAGAGGAACAGAAGCAAAACAAGCAATTCTTTATTCCTGCTCCAGGAAAAGATGGTGCTATCATTGCGAAAGCAATGAAGGGCGTTAGAGGAATGGAGTAGTAGAGCTAAAAATTCAGCTATGAAGAGTGTAATATCATACACTCCAGGAACTCGGGTAGAACTGCTCTGAAATGGAAACCAAAAGGCTCAGGCATCCTGTAATTCACTGACCTGGTTAGCATAATGTAGCAATTGAAACATTAAATGTGATTTTTCTGGTACCATGGGTGCGATCATTTCCAGTGGGCAGGGAAGTGTCACAGTCTAACGTAACACACGACTTTGATTAGCGTGCCCTAGAGAAAGGGGCAAGTAGGGTGATCGGAGGGATGTCATAGCTATTTTAGGAAGAACAGCTGGAACGATGAGGACTCTTCAGGATGTCAGAGAGGTGGCCAAAGTGCGTTTTTTTAAAATTGTAAGTATACTGGAAAAAATAGGTAGAGACTGATGTAACTCGTTGCCTTTCCCAATACCAGAACATTAGTTCTAGCGTGAGGCTAGAAGGTGGCACGTGCAAAACGCAAGGAAATGAAGTTAAGCTGTGACACTCCTCATCCCAAGATATTGCTGTAGCTGCAGATGTACGTGGGTTTGCAAGGGATTTTGCAAAGGAACAGTCTCACTTGGGCTGTTAAATACACAGATGTGACCTCCGGCTCCAGAAGTCCTTGAACTACACAGAAGTGGAAGCTGGAAGACCTCTGGCCTGACGAGGTACAGCTCTTGTGTGCTTGGGAGAACTCTCAGAAGTCGGATGTAGGTTTTGCATCCTCGTGAAGGGAAGGCTGGAAGGAAATATGACAGTCATCTAAAAAATACGTGGGGGTAGCAGACATGGAAGAGGAGGAAGGACTCAAGGACAGTAGAAATCAAAATTGCTGGACGTCCTCCAGCAGGAGTGGAAGATGCTGGGAGAAGGTCTAGTTCAGCGTAATGGGGGTGAAATGGAGGAAGGGGAACGTGGAGGGAAAAAAACCCAGATTGGCCAGGTATTTCAGAACAGAACTTGACAAATAAGAGGATTGTGATGTATCCTGTTCTGCTGTTGCAGAAGAACTTACCCTAAGAGCCCTCTTTCCATTTATTCAAGAATACTCTGTGAAAATTGGTTGCAGAAAATATAGCCACTTTCTGGTCTCTCTGTTGACAGACTCTGCAGTCTGGGGAGACAGCGA